ACATGTAACGCCTTTCGAAATCTACACGATATATATGTATATAAATTTTGACGATCAAAATCAATAACGCGAATAATATCTATAATTTTATGTCTTAATTATTACTGCAGTAGACATTATCCGACAACTTTACAAATAAAAATTGATATCAATTCAATGACTTGAGATTTCGACGTTGTACAATGACAAGAATTATTTATTTATTCATAACTTTCAAAATGTGCTAATTAATGCAAATTATCAACAGAAATAAAAATTATATGTTTATTGTAATAATACAGTTAATTTTGAATTGATTGCGTTGAATACAATTTTATGAAATAAAATTTTTAAATCTCTTAGATTATATAAAATGTAATTTTGCGGCACAGTTCCATATATAGTTTTGCCTTGAATTTAGATATACAGATAAAAGATAATAAAATCGTTGTCATCTATATCTTAATTTACCATTCGTTTAATTTGGTAAAACTTGAATTCCCGGTAGGAACAAACTTGTTAGGAAGGTGTTAGAAACAAGATTTTTATTAAATTTATCTATATAAGGAATCGTACGATTTTTATAGATTGCGTTACCACACTAAATTATTTCACGACGTTGTTATAATCAGTGACATTGACCAAATTTTATGCGCAAGCAAAATAAAATATTAAATTTTCAATAATTAAAATATACATAGACAATTTTTTTAGTTTATGTAACAAATTTTTTAATAAATTCACAGGATATTAAAAATTCCAGAGATAATTATAGACATTATATTTTAACAACATAAAAAGATACTTTACGCTTAAAAATTCCATATATAAATGTTAAACACCAAAGTTTTGAAATAAATTATTGCATAAGAAGAGAGGAGAGAGATTCTAGATTTTAATTTTTATTATATAAATGTAAACGTCTTTAGAATTTGGAAAATTGACTCCAAATATCCGCAGACATTTTTTCTAATAATTTGGATTTAACGATCGGGGGAGGATAGGGAAGCAGGGGATAAGCCGTGATCGTTACAAAAACACCCTCGCAACGGCCGGCTGCTGTCCGTTTGATTCACCGTTTCCTGCGATCGTCGTATTTTTGTCCGCGCGTGCCTCCACTTCGTTTCTTTCGCTGCCTGTCTCTCGCCTCGTCCTTTTTCCTCTCTCTCTCGCTTTCCTTCACTCACTCAACCTTTTCCTCACGCTAACTCCGATCCTGTCGTATTTTCTTACTTTTTCAACCCTTTCTTTTTTGTCCGCAGCCCTCCCACGCGCCGTCACTGCGCTTTCGTATGCGTGTTTTCGAAAGGGTGAAGGCACGCGCGTTCACGCGTGGAAGTGAGTTTTACGTAGGTTTAATGAGCGCTATTATGACCTAGTTGCACTCGACATCCCGCGCATAAATCCTCGCGGCTCATTAATCCTCGCCCGAGAGCCTCGAACTCTCCCGAGTGGCATCGAGGGTAGGCAAAGCCACGGAGAATTTATTAATCGCGCACTAACAAAAGAAAACGAACGCCTCGAGTGCGCGCGCGGAAGAAGAATGATCGCACGCGTCCGGAAGTGATGAGCGCAGATCGCCGCCGCGACGCGAAAAATTAAGAGATTCGTGCGAGGAGACCCTTGGCGAAACTCGCGCCTATAAATAAGCGAAGAGACTCGAGATTTCGGAAGCTGTTACTAAGAGAATACGTTGACATGTTTATTATAGAGCTCATACTTATTTCATCATTAATTCAATGTGATACTGAAGGTCAATATCTATTTGTTAATTATGTTAATTACTGATTGATATATTGAGCAATGTTCTCAGAAGATTTACTCGCAAAACAGCCTACATAGGTATTTATCTGTCTAGTTAATTCCCCAAATATATTTCTGCGAATTTCATTTAAACTTTATACATTTTTTTACCTTCTTTGGACGGGTTATTCCCAGCAAACCACGAAGATACGACGTGTAACGCGTGATCGCGTAAAAAAAAAGAGAGACAAAAAAACGAGCGTGCGAAAGAATACAAGAAAAGGTGAAAAATAAATTCACGCTGCCCTGCTCGCACCTTTATCTCTTGTCATCGCTTTCTCCCCGGCGGCATGATTTACACCCGGATTCCTTAATTAGGTTAAAGTTTGATCCTACTGCTTTCTCTCTCTCTCTCGTTCGAGAGGACGACCGAAGAAGAGCGTCGCAGCTTCCGAAAGTCAATTCGGAAATTCGCTCGCTCCGCTTAATTGTGTAAAACACTCCGTGGTTCGTTATCTCGACTAAAAGACCGCGTAAACTTGCGAGGCTCGCCTAATTAATCACCTTTCGTTAGTACCCTTTCGTCGCCACTGCCGACCATTATTACGCTTCATTGGTAGCTTTGTGCGGCTCGCTTTTCACGAGGAGAGAGAGACACAGAGGGACGCTTAACGAAGCGTGATACGGTAACCGACGATGGCTTAAGTAGTAACCGCCTTCTGTACCCTGGTTGGTCAGTCGTTGCGTACTCGCAGTTACCGAAGGCCGTTCTAGGCCGTTTGGTAGTCACCGTTAGGCAATGCTTCTTGTGCACCGGTTACCTTAAGCGTTCGCCTCAACGCGCCCGTTGTCCTTGCAAAGATTCGAGTCGCCGTGTGTGTGTCTCCTCGAAAAGCGCGCACACGGCGACGTATATACGTAATCGTCGTTGACCCGTGAAACTGCAAGAAGAGAAAAAAAGAAGGGAAAAGGCTACATAAAAGCTCCGCGCGATCGAATTTAAATTTAATTTTTATTTTCTTTCGTTCAAAGTACTTTTTTTCTTTCTCCTACATCGTTGAATGAAAACGTATGATGCTGCGCAACACGTTTCTGGTCGCATCCTTTGACACGTTCCTTTACGATGCCTTAGATCGTAACTCGCGACACTCAACGCCGTTTGATTTACACAAGACGACGCGGGTTTTTTTTTTTTTTTTTTTTTTTTTTTTTTTTTTATTAATTCACGGATTCGTCGTCTTATGGACGTGCGATTCGGTTAAAGAGTCGGCGCCGTTATTTCGTGAAATCTCTCTTTCTCTCTGTGACGCCTCGTGCGGGCGCGAGATAAAAGCAGACGGAGATGGTCCGGGACGCGCCATGGTGCCGTCGTTCGCGAGGGAAACTTCGGAATTTATTAACTTGTAAGATACGTTCTTGTGCCGGCAACACACAGCCACCCAGAACTCAATAAAATGTACTTTCGTTACTTTCTCGCGGTCTCTTTTTCCTCCCTGTTCTCCACGCCATGCTCGTTTATTTGTTAGCCGCGCGATAAAACTTCTCTCTTTCTCTCTCTCAGTTTCTTTTTCCTCATCCGGACGTCGCCTTTCCTCCCGTCGTTCCTCTCTCTCTCTCAGGGTCTTTTCATTTAAACTGCCCGCCGGTCGTAAGAAATAATGCTGGAAAAAGTCATTGCTTGCTCGACTCAGTTACGAGATATCCTTTTTAACGATCGCACTTAACCGCGTCTTTTGACGCTGACGTACGACGTACACAATATTCGCGATTGCAATGGGAATTAAAACCCGATATAAATGCAGTTCCTTTGCTGGCCGATACGATGGACCGGAGGTATACATCGTTGTACGTTTCTTCGCGCTTTTATTCCGCTCGAGTTACGAGAACTTTTATTCGTTTTTCGAATTCTTCGTCTCTTTCGAAAGAGGATAAGCGTGAAAAAAGTTCAACCTTGGCAATTATGTCTAACGAATATCTCTTGTTGTTGTAAGATTAGTAAGCATTAAATGTTCTATATACGCGATCGTTCGCGAGTGGATTACATAAGTCTTTGCGCTAGAAAGTCGATTCCAAGTTCGACGAGCGTCACTTTCGAATTATTCTCTCGTCCGCGTTGCTGAAAATGCAAATCGACCATGATAACGGTGGCGCTTTTCGCGATTCCATAATATATACATGTATACATGATTGTTATATAGCAACACGAGTCTATGGTCAACTATAAAGGCCATCTGTTCGCTTTTAGAGTCTTTCCTTTATACCAGCGTGCAGTGACGTCACTCTCGCGCCAAGATAAACCGAGATGAACACCCACTCGCTACTACCTAAGTCATGTAGCACCTTGCGCTTCTCTTTGTCTTTTCCCCTAGGTCTTCTTCTACTGTCTTCCTCCCCCTCGAGTCGTGTTTTCGCGAGGAGCCATCGAATTCTCAACGAGCCGCATTGACTGATGCGCGTGTTATACGACGGGACTTTAACGAGTGTTCGTCTAATCGTCGTGAAGCGAGTTTCGAGGAAAGTCTCACGCAAAATGCTTTTGGCACGGTTATTGTCATCAACGTCGTTGTTGTTCGTAAATCATTTACCCGCCCTCGTTTCGGCGCTTTTTTTGTGACACGACTAGGTCCACGATAATGGTCCACGAAAGTATCGATTTCTAAAAAAATCGATATCAAACCTCCGCTTTATTCGTCCACTATTTTGCGGTGCTACATTTTTCAAATTAAAAATTTGTCAGACGAACATTTAAGAAAATTCGTGTGTGAATCAAGTAAGATACGTACATGGTTCGAAATTTAATTACATATCATATCTTTGCACTGAATAATAATTTTTTTATTTTCACGTGCAAACGTATCTTAGGCCGGTATTCATAGTCCGATCTTATATTTAAGATCATCTTAAGTCCGAGCTTAAGACACCACGGAGCCATATTTGATTGGTTGACCAGGATCTTAAGTCAACCTCCGACCAGACTTAAGACGATCTTAAATACATAAGATTGGACTATAAATACCGGCCTTAATCGGGCAATTAATTTTGATCGACAAATAACGAATACAATTCTAAATAACGGAGACCTCGCGATTTGAACCGTTCGCGATCTCGTGAAGAGGCATTGGCGAGATTTCGTAAGACGGCGTTAACGCGCCTTCTAGCGAGAGGATCGGTCGAGTCGGAGCCTGGTCGCATATTGCTGGCACGACGCCAGCACAGGCGTCCCGACGCTTGCCGAGATGGTGGACCGAGTCCGGCCGAAGGCAGCGTCCCGGCGTTAGCGTCGGCGTCGGCACGACGGGCGTCCGTCAGTGCGCGTGTGACATGGCTGCGAGGCGCTACTACGACGACCTGGACGACGTCCTTCATCTCGCGATGTGATACACACCCCGCGACACCCTCGCCTACGATTCTCGCGCGACTCGCAGCGGTATATCTAGCCGATACGGGAATGAGTCATAATCGTCGAGCGTTGCGAAAGACTATATAGTATCCCGATGATACGGTCGATCGTCGTGTGACACCCCTCGTCGATACATCAGAAAGAAGGAGCAAGGAATTTATTCATTTTCTCATTCGTTGATCGCTCTTTTCTTATTGGCGATTTCGGAAATATTCGCGGATAGAAGCGAGAGACGATAATTTTCGTGTGAGAGAAAATCAGGACGAACGTTGCTCCAAACTTTTTCGATAATTATCATGCCAGGTCTTTGATTGTCAGAGCGTCGGGGGCGGCACCATAATTGCCTGCCGAGAGATCGAGATGCGTGGACAGGAAAAGCGGAACGATGTAAGAGACAAGTGACCCCGAGTCCCCCGAGCAAGATGACAAGTCGAAGGGTTGATCTTTAGCAAGTGCGATCTTATCTCGCGTGTATGAAGCGCAACGTAGCATTCCCACAGATAGACGAAGCTGCATTCCCTCTAATCTCGATCGCGAAAACTGTTTTCGAGAAATTGTACATAAATCGCTCGCACACAGAGAACGTATGTCATTAACGCGCATTCTTTATTCCTAATCGAATGTCAATCGTTTAATTATTAAATAATTATCTAACTTAATAATTCAGTGCTACACATATCGCTGTCATCGTGGCATCAGACTATGATTTATAAACTGTCAGAAAAATCGAACTCTCTTGAAACGCGAGCAACTGCTCGCCAGAGCTTTATACATGCATGAAACTTTTCTATAATCTAAAAAAAATATATAGATGTGCGCGCGGATGAAACAATTCGATGAATCATGGCGCGATTTTAAGCGGGAACTCGGACAACCGAGGGGTTGATCCTCGGGGTGGCGCTCGATCGTCAACGGTTGGACATATCGAGACAATTTTTTCTCCCATCTAACTTGAACATTAATTCGGCGCGTCGCGAGGAGTGCGGGGATAAAGGAGAGAGTGCATGTGAATGTGCGCGCTCGTGCGTATCTGTGCGCGAAGTGCATAAAGCGACGATGGGATATCGGTGAGATCACGAGGTCACCGCAGAATGCCTGAGCCGAGGGCAAAGCGCTGTAAACACTGTGACGGTACGCGTGATTGGTTGGCGACTACGTCGCGATCAATGGTTACGTTCTCGCTGACCCTTAACACGACCGCTGCGACTAACATCTGTGTCGACTAATAAAGAGTGTTACGTTTGAGATTGAGATTGTGTGCATTTTCAGTTCCCATTAACCCCCCTAGCGTATATATATATTTGTGCGAAAGACGCTTCGTCACGCCGAGTTTATGCGAAGTCGATAAATAAGTAAGTCAAGTAGCGTATTACTTGCTGAAATGTAGGCAAGTAATATCCTACTTGATTCCGCCTCTTTACACGACTTCATCATTAAGAATCACATCGCGCGTATATTTTTAAAAAATACAATTTCTCACGCTTGCGTGAGATTTCAATTAAATTTTTTAGAGTTAAGATTTTAAAAAATGTTCGAATTACAAAATTTTCATGAATTTATTACTAGACAAAATTATTTAACAAGGTTTCAAGCAAGGTTTTTTCGCTATAATACGAGAGATCCTAATCGGGATGAGACTCTATTTTATTTGTGGGTCATTTATTCCACGACTGCGACCGGACATTTGGACCGCGCTTGAGACGAATGAATGCGTAAAGCGCATTCCGGATCGGGCGGCGACCACGTCCAACTGTACTCCTTCTTCTCTATCTATCTCGTTCTCTTCCTCAGGCCTTTTCTCTTCATCCCTCTGTCCTCCTCTTGCCCTTCTTTTCCGTCGTGCTCTATGCCACAGTATTTTTATCCACGGTTATTCACCCTCTTATCTTGTAGATGCGATTGACAATTATTTATCTGGATTAACCATCGAATTTTGTATATCTCGTGTAATCTTCCGGGACATTATGCGGAATTTGTGAGTGATCTAAGAAAGTTTTTAGAAATATAGTTTCTATTTTAAAACTCGGATTTAGAATCAAAATCGTGGTGCTGGGTTGTGTGCGGAGGTTTATTTGAATTTCTTTCGTGATTAAATCGCCTGTAAACACCGAACCGTACAAGTATGCTAAACGATCACTGCTTTTCCCGGTATTGACCTACTTACTTTCCTCAACAATTTTACGCCAGGATCGCGTCCGCTTTCTTTATTATCGTATCTGTTGGTGATTTTATAAACAACGTCGCAAAGTACAGCCAGACATTTCGCCATAAGTGTCAAATGGCGCGACTTAAAATCCATATTATTTTCAATCCGAAGAGGGAATCGCCCTTGTTTTCAAGGAGGGACAACTTTACAGATGACAAATGAACCGTATTTCCGCAGGCGTTTCGAAGAGCTAATTATATATCGGATATACGCAAAGTGAATTTTCTCGATGCTCGAGCCTAAGTCAGAAAGCTTTCAACCTAACACGATGATATATGACATTTTAAAAGCCGGACATTTTTTTTAGCTGAGAAACAAGCATTCTTCATTAATGTTCATTTTTTAAACCATCAATTTGCATTAATTACAAAAGATAAAATATAAATAGTCTCGCGCGTAAAATCGTATCTTCTATTTTAATCTATATATTTTACAAAGCCTACGAAAAAAATATTTGTAAAATATAGCTTCTTTTATATTGTAATTATTTTGTATATTTCAATATATTAAGATTCAAGTACACTGTTCTATATTTGTTTAATTTTTGTTTTGAATGTAACGTATTAGGACTTTTACGTCGGTCCGATGAGCTATGTGAATCTAGCACTCGACTTTAACAAAATTAATTTTTAATATGAAAAATGATAGCATTTCGCGTTTGTGGTTTTATCAATTAAAAATTTTTTTAATGAAAAAATATTGTGACTACAAACAAAATGTCATCATTTTTCGTATTAAAAAATTAATTTTTTAAAAGTCGGGTACCAAGTTTACATCCCTCATCCTCATCATAAAACAAACGAATCAGCTCGTTTCGCGAATATAGAAACGATGATGTGATCTTGCTGAAAAGTTGAAGGTTGCATTCTTAAGGTTTGTCTTATATTGAACACGTATAATGTAATATATCGCCCATTCTTTGCATTCACTTTTTCTCGTGTTTCAAAGAGAAATGATAACTGACAGACGACAAAATGCTATTTTCTCGTTCTACCGGACGCGCAGACTTAGTTTCTTTTCTTTTTCTACTTTTTTTTATTTCCGTGTCTGATGATCGCACGGTTGCGTAACGCGAAGCTTATTTCTACGCTCTTTTCTCGCGATGATCATCAAGTCCCCGTAGTCAATAAGTATAAAATTGTCGGCGATCGTGGGCGTTGACAATCGGATGATCGCGGGGAGGCTCGTTTGCCGTGTCGTAGGAGACGATCGATAAATCTCGATCTAAATTTATCTTCTCCACGGGAAGGTGTTGCTCGTAATCCGCGATGCTTTTTTCGATTTATGGCCAACGCTTTCCAACCGCAGTTTTATAGCTTCGCGCTATTGCGTAAACATGCATTATTCCGTAATTTCGTGGCAATTACTCAGCCGCCATAGTGATCATTTATATTGCGCTCTCGGGCGAATGGCAGTTTTCTCTTAACGTACGTATGTCCCTCTGATTTCTGGAGTCGAATTTTTGGACGACCTCGACGCGAAGTCTTAGCGCCCGTCTCACGACGGGCATAAAAGTGATTCGTAGATACGCGAATGGCTCATAAACATCGGGTCGAGCAGCTGTCGATGGAAAACATGGTCTATATTTAAGCCTGACTACGTTGGATATCCCATGGCCGGTCTTGACAATAGAGATCGGACACACAGAATTCATTCCGCTCGAGATACGTGCGTAATCGGAACACAGATGTGATTAATCATTTCCTAAAACTAGCGCTTTAAAATATATATCGACGGCAGTCAATGGCGAGAAAAGAATATCGACGTCTAAATATTATGAGAAACAGGTCGAAGAATTTTCGGGACATTGACGACGCCCCCGCGTTTCCCAACGTGTTTAAATCATTTAAAGAGCAACTCTTTTAATGCGACTCGGAGTTTACTGTATAAACGTTATAAATCTAGGCTAGGTCGCTAGACGAGGATGAGATCGCGAACGCGACTCGCCAACAAGTGGATCGTACATCAATTTTATTCATCCTCCGTCATTATTATTATACCATCGTCGTTTGTTCTCTCTCCGCAGTCGTCAACGCGCGGTTCGCTTTTACGACTTTTATCTGTGTATAAGCGAGAAAAATCGAGATCTCTGTCCAGCAACGCTGACCTTCGTAGGATTCGCTCGCGTCGATTCGTTCGCGGGATATGAATTTGGCAGCTCGTGATTCTGGACGACTCTTTCGATTATTTATCGACACGATATGCGCGAAGAGCGTGGGCGAACCTGGCGTTCCTTCTCTGTCCTTTCCCTCCTTTTTCTGGCTGGACTCCAAACGGTAGCGACACCCTCACATCTACGGATTATTTCTCAGTACGACGTATTATGCGTCTGCCGTACTGACGCTTTCGAGTAGAAGTCTTACGCATGAACGCCCACATGTGCACGTTACAGGCTTACACATATTACGTCGTCGCGATTACGTACTTCTTTTGCGAATCGCGTGGCCGTGCTCTTCGTGTTTACGGACTTTCGCATACGTTCGCGATGTTAATGAAAGTGCACGCTTAATCGAGCATATTCAATCAAAAAGTAATATTGACGCCGACGTGAAATCTTGTTAACATATTAAAAATCATTATTCTGTGGTCTTTTTTTCGCATTGAGAATTTCGTGTATTCGTGCATTTTACTCGGCTTATTAGACGAAAATCATAATAATCTTCGAAGGCGTTTCGCGACTGTCAAGAAACGGGGATAATCATATACCTAATAGAAATGCTTACGAAATGTAGATTGCACCAGATTAGAACCACGAAAATAATACCGTGAAATCGGTCGGCTGACTATAACTATACGCGAATATTAAATTATATTCGTAACTGCTTTTAGCTTGTTCATAATAATGTCAACTACACCTGCACGTTTCGTATATGTAGTTATTTATTTAATGTTTCATGTTACTAATGTATTTGACGCCCAATTCTAAATACTGATTTTGTGGAACATAACTTATACGTATAAATCATCAGCCTTGTTAAGTTAAGATAAGTGATTAATGCATTAATCAGAAAAATTATTTGTTAATAGTTGTTGATAAGATGAAGGAACAGTAAGAAGTATTAATAATTCTTTTACTCTTTTAAGCATTTTTCTCTCTATGCTGAATAATGATCTTTTCTCGGTCTGACAACGAGAATCATAACATTAACTCGTTATTTAACTCCGTCGTCGCAATTAGACTTATATTTATGACAGTGGCACGAAACGAGGGTAATCTCACTCAAACAAGGAAGTCGGGTTTGATATATATTTAACGTTATACGTCGTTGTCGATTGTTCCGATGGAACAACGTAATATCCGCCGTCTTTCTCTCCCTGTAGTCTTTTCCGTCTTCTGTTTGGATGCACACACGCGCCGCGTTCTTCTGTTGCTCTTGGCAGATATAAGCGTGGTTTACGCCGTAACAGCTGTACGCGCACGCACTTTGCTCGCGCAAAACATTGCTAATGGACCGACAACCCCGAATCCAGTCGACCTCGTATATGCTTAGGTACATTAGATATATAGGTATATATGAAATACAGCGTTTTATCTATACGTCTTTCGTATTTTTATCGTACCTGAGATTATCGATGTACGAAGATAAAATACACGCTAACGAGAAAAATCTGCATACCAATTTCGTAATATCTTCGGATGTTAATATTTTTAATTTTTAAGAATTTTACATTTATATGCAGGTTAATTTAAATATTTTTTTTTAAGTGAATATTTTAAAATAAATTTAACTGATGGACTAAAGAGCATTATTTAAAGTATTCTGATTTATTTTAAACAATACTTAATTTCCATTACTATTCCATTATTATCATCTCGACTGTATATATTAAAATTCTACACAGGTTTACTCTCGGATTAAGAAAGCGTATTTCAACAGGAAACTGCCGCGGAATGAAGAGTAAAATGAAAACATTCGAGCAAAAC